TGTACTAGTCATCATCAGCCCCAGAGGCAATCCACCACACCACACACTGGAGTAGGGTATTACACCACAATGGTGGCCTGAACCAGTATAAATCTCGTGTCCTCTGTGTTGTTCTTCGTGTAGTTTAGATCCTTGCGAGGTGGCGAGACATGGGTAGGCAGGGGGTGTGATCTCCGCGTGTACCCCAGAGTTCGAACCTTGAGGGTCTGCCGGAACCCGAAATCTGACACATGCGCTAGGTGTGCTCCATACGGATAGTAGCCCCTGAGACTCTGGTTGCCCGCCCTAGGCGGCATACGGAGGATCATATTGTGTAAGTACTCATTGCGCTATACATATGCGCAGGTATCTAAGGATCCGGCTGCTGAACAGTCTGTTGAAGTTGCCGAACTAAGAAGGCAAATTGGATGTATTGATGCCGATATCACGCTGGTGAACGAGCGGCTGAACGAGTCACAAGGTATGTGCTCTGCTTTCCTTATTATGTTGTATAGGAAAATATGAGAGTGGCATAATATTAATGCAATATGCTTGGACTGTAGATGGTGCTGCTGTCGTGGAAGCCCTAAGGGCGGAACTTGCCCAGGCCAAGGAACAAGCTCGGGTTAGCAATGCGGCTACCCTAAAGGCGGCCGAAGAATTGAGAGCCGAACAGGTTGCTCATCGCCGAAGCGAGGAAAAAATAGCCGAAATGGCTGTAGAGTTGAAAAATGCCGCCGATCGGTATGAACTCCTTGAAAAGGAGCATAAGGCTAGTTCGGCCGACCTGAACAAGGCACTTAATGCCACCAAGGAGATGTGGACCGAGGTCAGAGGTGTGCGGGAGGAGCTTCAACAGGCCAGTAAAATCGTGGCTGGGGGCTCCTACTTACTGCAGACAAAGTTTTTGGATCTGAAGTATGCTCCCCTGGATGGACGCTGGAGTCCTGCAGATGCGTATGCGGACTTGGCAAAGAGTACAACTGATGCAGCCAAGTTTTTCGAGAATCAAGGTGATAAAGAAGTGGAGAAGCTTTTCTGGTCGCAATTCAATGCACTCGCGCGCCCGCTGCCGTTAAGTGAGAAGATGGCTGCTGTGGCGGAGCTTCATAGGCTGTCCGGGCTTGCAATGCGGTCTGTAATAGACCATCTTTGGCCGAAGGGGCCTAAGCCGGACAGTTACTTTGGTTTGGTGCAACAATCCTTGGGGCCGTGCCTCAGATCGATGCCATGAGGAGGTCGACGTGCATAGAGGGTGCACGAATGACTCTTGCCCATGTTAAAGCCTATTGGACGGATATGGAGGCCATCATTGTAGCGACCCAAGATCCGGCGGGAGGCCAATATCCGGCCGAGCACTACTTGGCGCAGGTCACAGAAGGTGCCCGCCTAATAGAGGCGCATTGCTCGAAGAATGTCTTGTTCGAGTGACAAGGCGAATAATTATAAAAACAATGTTATTTTGGTTATAAGGCTATATTTATACTTTTTTCCCGAAAGTATTATTGTGTCTCCTGTGCGGCCTATACATACATACATACATATATATATATATATATATATATATATATATATATATATATATATATATATATATATATATATATATGATCTGAAAGTTAGCAGTCGTTGGCTTCAGCCCCCTCGCATATAATGCGGGGGTGTTCGCGAAAAATATGCATAATCACACTTGATCCAACGTCTTGGTCCATTAAGGAGGTGATCGCACGTCGAACTAGGCAACCAGACTATATAGCTGTAACACTTTCGCTTAGCCATGGGAGTCTAATGGTGGGGCTACTTTGTAGCCCCTGGTACCTTCGCATGCATCCGAATACGGGGTCTTGTGTACATGACCGGGAAACGGTCATTCGTTAATGCGGAGGGATCCTAAAGATTCTGATAAGTCTCCGAGTGGTTGAACAGTCTCTCACTATATCATGACAGTCAGTTTTCGGCTTTCTCTACTGAGGTGCTCATCCGGAATAACCAGGGCACAATCGCAGTAGTTCTCCTTTGGCCGCCTTAGCCAATAAGAACAAAACATAAGGCGGCAAACCCAGGAGCCGGGCAAACCCAACATTTGACCAAAGACATGATTCGGAGCTGATGCATATAAGGCCAAACTCGTGACGCCGAAAACTCCCGAAGGTATTCGGACTTTATAACAGAAAATGGGCTGAAGAATGCCCATTCATTATAAACCCTGTATTTGCAGGTACATGCATTAGTGTGTCGTGGCGAAATGCCAATAACGGCAGTATCCTCTGTGGGTGCAGTACCAATGGGATGTGTGAACAACAAGAGGCAATATAAAAGGTTTACACATGGGCTTAATCTAAAGAGAAACCTTTGAGCGTGGCCCTACTGCACGTCTGTGCCTTTGTCTCCGTTGTGCCGTTTCCTGAAAGGGTATCGCGCGAATGTTGTCTGTAAAAAAGAAAACTCATGTAGGAGAGTACAACGTTAGTATGCGATGGACAGTAAAAGTGTAAGACATTGGCCTGCCAATAAGGTTGAGCCAAGTGTGGGGCTATATTAAATATTTATAGCCCCTGGTGTCCTCTATGGGATTACATATACGGTGCCATGGTTCAGTTTTATCCGGGCTGCCGGACTCGTCTAACCGTGTCTGTGGTCTTAACGACCAGTCGCAATTTCCGATATTGGAGGCCGCTTATAGTCCGGCCGCTGGGGCCGTCACGTGTTCCTCTGCGTGTGAAGAGCGCTCTGTGTTTCCGTTAACGGTGATGACGCCACGTGGACCGGGCATCTTGAGTGTAAGGTAGGCATAGTGCGGTATTGCGTTGAAGCGGACGAAGGCCGCTCTTCCAAGCAATGCGTGATAGCTGCTTTAGAAGGGTGCGATGGTTAAGAGTAGTTCTTCGCATCTGGAGTTGCCTAGGGAGCCGAATGTTACCTCCAGCACAACGGAGCCCCTGCCATAGGCTTCAACGCCTTGTATCACACCTTCAAAGGTGGTGTTGCTATGACTGATTCTGGATGGGTCTATCCCCATTCTGCGGACAGTGTCCTGGTATATTAAATTGAGACTACTGCCGCCGTCCATAAGGACGTGGGTGAGATGGTATCCATCAATTATTGGGTCAAGCACCAAGGCCTCTGATCCTCCGTGCCGAACAGTAGTTGGGCAGTCTGTGTGATCGAAGGTGATCGGACAAGCCGTCCAGTAGTTAGGTGTGGGTACGATGGGCTCTGTACCGTACGCGTGTCTGAGCGCGTGTTCGTGCCTTCTCGTGGATGTGTGAGTCTCGTGGATCATGTTTACTGTTTTAACCTTTGGTGGGAATTTTTTTTGTCCCCCAGTGTTCGGCTGACGAGGTTCATCCTCGTCTTCACTTGGTGTTTCCCTTCCCTTGTGTTCGACATTTAATTTGCCGGCCTGCTTGAAGACCCAGCACTCTCTGTGCTTGTGGTTCGCAGGTTTGTCGAGGGTGCCATGAATTTGGCACAGTCTGTCCAGGACTCTGTTCAGACCGGATGGTCCCTCTTTACTGCCTTTAAGTGGCTTCTTTTGCTGATTGGGTCGAGAGCTCCTGAATCCGGCGTTTACTGTTGTGTTGTTCGGGCTCTCTTCCTTGTTTTGACGTTTGTTTTTATTACGCCGTGGCTTCCCGTTGCCATCCCTTATTTCGGATGTGCTGGGATCGCTGGTGCCCTTACGGGCCAGCCAGCTGCAATTTTCTATATTTTTTGTATTTTTTGGACATTTTTTCGCTGTACAAACTCCCCATCTCGCTCGGCTCGAGCAGCAGCAGCACTGCAGACGGCAGCGAGCTAGGCGGGCCAGGGCACTGGGCCAGCAGTGCAGCACTGCAGCGTGGCAACGACTCAGTGAGCGCCAGGGCGCCAGGCCAGACAGGCCAGCTAGACACTGGCGCCAGGCGGGCCAGCGAGGCAGCGAGCGGCGAGCGCTAGGCCAGGCGGGCCAGCTACTGCCAAGCGGGCCTGGGCATGCCGCTGTCGTGCCTAGGCTGCGACCCCCCGCTCGTGGGCCGGCATGGCACGGCCCGGCTAATATTTGTGCCGTCGTGGGGTGGGTCGTGCCAGGCACGTTTAGCGCGGGCCTTGCCGTGCCAGCCCGGCTCGTTTGGCCAGCTATCCCCGGCGCCCGCTGGAGTATGTGAAACCACTCCGCGCACGCTAAAACCCACGTTTCCACGCATGCGTTTTTACCACCGCTGTTGGAGATGCTTTAATAGTCAACTAAGAATTACTCCCTTCGTCCCATAATGTAAGACGTTTTTCATTATGAGATGGACATAGCGTAGTGTCAAAAGACGTCTTGAATTATGAGACGGAGTAGATAAGACTTGAGTAATTTTTATCCCGATAAGAATTAGTAAAATATGACTAGAGTTAGCAAACCACAAATAGCAAATCCGGCGAATATTATGTCAGCAAATTAACCACTTGTATGCTGCAGAGAACCAAAATGTTGGCCCGAAACGCAGAACAGGGGGACTTCAAAGATAAACCAGAACAGTCGTGTTTAAAAGATCATCAACGAGACTGCAGGAATATACTCCCTCCGTAAACTAATATAAGAGTGTTTAGAACACTATTTTAGTGATCTAAACGCTCTTATATTAGTTTACAGAGGGAGTAGTAATTAAGCGTCCGTTTGACCTGCCGGACGGCGTAGAAAGGAGAGCTAGAGCGCGCAACGCGTTTCACGTTTTGCTTCCGCCCCGCCAGCGCTCGTAGCCATCCAGCGCGTCCTGCGCGCGCCGCCGCACGGCGAGCTCGGCCTTCATCATCTCCGCCTCCGCCTCCGCCGCGGCGAGCTTTTCCTCCGACTTCTCCAGCTGCGTCCGCAGTGCGGCGACCTCCGCGTCCCGCGCAACCAGCCGCTGCTCCAGCTCCAGCGCGTAGGCCAAGGAGAAGGACGCGTAGTTTGCAGCCTGCATGCGTCGTTGCCGTCCACAGACAAATACTACAACCAGTGAGATCGATCCGACCGCAGACAAGCAACCTACGATGAATGTACGTACTAGCGTCTAGCATACCTGAAGAATGGCGATGTAGCTGGACGCGACGATGTCGGAGGGCTCGGTCGCCGCAAACACGCGCTCCTGCTGCGGCGGGACGACGCCCCGCAGCCTCTCCCTCGCGGCGACCCAGTCGGTGCTGTCGCCGTCGTGTCCGCTGGGAATATGCTGCATCTTCCGACTGCTCCGGGAGAAGGCTTCGGTTGGGGAACAAATTCCGGTGGGCGCCGAGCTGTCATCGGCGGTAGGCGGAGTGTTTGGCAGCACACATGGTGGGCCGTCGCTGCCGCCTGCTTCGTCCAGATTCCTCTTCTTCCCACGCAATGGTGACGATCTCGTCGCATCTCCGCCCGGCTCGATTTTCACCTTGTTCGTCGATGCCGGTGTTTGTGCAACCGCCGCCTTCGCTGCTAGCATGGATTTCATCATGCCGTACACTGCGGGATCCATCACTTTGGACTCGGTGGCGGTACAAGTATAAGAAGGCGGCGGTTGCGGAGACGACGGCTCCGGTGACGACGGCTGCGGTGACGACGGCTCCGGTGCCGGGAGCTGCGGTGATGACGGCGCCCGTGCCGGTGCCGATAAGGGAGATATCCCGGCGTTGGCAAGATTGCTGCGGCAAAGATACTTCCTAAGATCAATGAAGGAGGCTCCCTGAGCACGTAGCAACTTGGCCGCCGATGCCTCATCTTCGGTGGAGAGCACGGGGTCCACGAGAGAGCTCTTGGACGGCCTGCCCCACTCCACAGGACAAGGCCACGCGGTCGGCGAACAGAGGAAGAAGAACCCACGCTTCCAATCCTTGATGGACTCCGGCAACCCCGTGAAGCGCAAGCCGGATCTGTCCCTCGATCTGGGATGGAAGTAGTACCAGCCTTTTTTCTGCTTGTGGCTGTGGGGGAGGGTGGACAGCATGAAGAACCGCCGGAACACCGCGAGGGACGGCGACACGCCGGCGGAGTGGCAGAGGACAACGAATCCCGCCATGATGCGCCACCCGTTGGGCGCGAGCTGCGTGGGCGCGAGGCCGAAGTGGTTGAGCGCGTCGACGAAGAAGGGGTGCAGGGGGACGCGCATCCCGGCATCCAGCGCGTGCGCGTACACGCAGACGGCGCCGTGCGGCGGGGACGAGCTGGCGCGCAGGTCGCCTGCGGGGAGGGCGGTGTACTGGTCCTCGGAGATGCCGTATTTCTTGCACACCGCGTCGACGTGGCCCTGCGTGCGCAAGACGGAGAGGAATTCCTCGTCCGACGACGGGAGCTCGACGCCGGCGGCGTCGTCGTCGAGGTCGGAGGTGGTGACCTTGTAGTCCGGGTCGGAGGAGGACGGAGAGGACGTGGAGGAGGAGGAGGAAGAGGATGGAGAGGAGGAGGACGACGAAGAAGAAGCAGCCGCCATGGCGGGCGAAGGTCCTACTCCAATGGCTTCAGATTTGCTTTCCAAGGAGCTTCTCCCCGTGGATGGGTCTGTGCAAAGACGGTGGACACTCCACTATATCGTCCCAGGCACGAAATTCACTGCAGGGAAATAATGCACTGAAGATGCACTCAGTAGCAGGCTGCAGCGCTGCAGTGTCTAGTTTTATCAAAACGACAGAAGACGTCCGTCTGAATAGACTGAAAGTCCAGCCGCGTGGACCGAAGAGTCGAGTCACGAGCAAGCTACCTCCGGACCGAAGGATTCTGCTAGCACTATTCAGGAGGAGTGAAGTCTGTTTTGAACCTTGAGACCGTAGGCAGCGACAGAAATGAACCCCAACATCGAAATTCCTGAAGTCTGTGTCCTGTAGTCTCTAATCCCGGTCGTAATGGCCCTTTAGTGCGTACCCAAACGGTGGGATTCCAACGTGGCTCTGGAAAGACCGGGAACCGGCTGATTCAGCTGCCTGTGGGTAGGTCCAGTCGCTCCTGCTGTTAGCGCTCACTTCGCCCCTTCGCCCCTTCCTCTCCTTCTCTCTGCGACGCCTGGGCTCTTCGCCTCTACACCTCAACAACGGCGACGACGGCGTGGACGATCGCGGCAGCGGTCCACGACATCTCCGGTGGCATCTAGCAAGGTATGCCCTGGCCTTCTCCTCTGTTTCTTCACCGCAGCGATGCTCTTTGTTTTCTCTGTTAGGTTTAGGGTTTTTAAAGGTGGAGCAGAGCAAAATTAAGGGTCGAAAAATCTTATGATTTGTGGTAGATGTTTGTTCTGAAGTTATTTAATCCGTCAAAATCGCTGCAATGTAGGTGCTTTTTGTTGAAACAATGGACCCAGCAGAGATTTTAAACGTCGGGTTTCACATAGGGGGGGAGTTTGTTCGAATTGGCCCTAATTTGGACTATGTTAGTGGTGATGTGGCCTATTCAAAAATTGAGAGGGACAAGTTGTCCTTTCAGGAGGTGAAGGATATCTGAGAGACCATATGGTTGTTAAGGAAAGCATGAAGTTTTACTTCCTTCTGCCTGGTAAAGAGATGTTAAATGGCTTGGTTTTTTTGCATGATGATGAGGGCTGCATGCAGATATCAGGGCACATAACTGATGGTGGTGGTGTTGATATCTTTGTGGAATATAATGGGAAGCAAGATTCAGAAGAAGAGAAGGGCGGTGGGTCTGATTTTGAAGATGAAATGCAGTACGAGACTGGCAATGAAAGTGAAGAGGAATTTCCTCTTGTCATGACTGTACAAGGTGATCAGAATGACAATGCAGCAGCACAAGAACAGTTACTTGAGCACAGCATGGAGCAGAGATGAAATAGCATGGAGCAGAGCATGCAAGACATGAAGGAGCTGCAAATGCACCTACATTTAAAATCTCCTTGGATATTTTGCTGGGTCAAGACATGAAGGAGCTGCAAATGCAGTACAACAAGGAGTAGAGGTAGGGGCAGAGAAAGAAAAAGAACAGTCAGATCCTGAGGATTCTGAAGATACTGAATATGTGCCACATACTGATGACAGTGGAGAGGAGTCAGAGGTTGTTGAGATGAGAAAGCATGCAAGGAAATTTAGGGAAAAAATTAAAGACTCTAGGAAATGGATTGAATCAGATGCAACTGGGGCTGTGCCAATTGATTTCATTGCAAATGTTGAGGAGGTGGTGGAGGACATGGAATTTGAGTCCTCTGATGAGGACTACAGTTATGATGAAGATAGTGATGGGAACATTCAGAGAAAGAGGAGCAAATATCCAAGATTTGACCCAGAAACTGATATTCCACATTTCAGTTTGGGTATGGTTTTCAGAAGCAAAAAATCAATTTGTCAAGGCTATTAAGAGATATGGTCTTGCAACCAAGAGAATCATGCGATTCAAGAAGTCAGAGGGGGCAAGGGTGAGAGTTAAATGTGGATGGCCTGGTTGTCCATGGATTACTATGCAGCAAAGACTAGCAGATGTTCAAGGTTTCAAATTATCACCTTTGATGATGACCATCAGTGTGCATAGAACAGAGAGAACAGATTGGTCACTGCGAAGGTCATTGCAGGCAGGTATGAGCATTTCATATTGGCCAATCCAACGTGGAAAATTGATAGCATAAAAGCTACTGTACTTCAAGACATGTTTGTTGATGCCTCAATTTCAAAATGCAAGGCAGCAAAAATTTTTGTAATGGACAAGTTATTGTGTGGTATGAGGAGTGAGTATACTAAAGTGTTTGACTATCAGTTAGAGCTGCTTAGGAGCAACCCTGGCAGTACAGTTGATGTATGCTTGGATCCACATGCAAAATAATGTTTTTCAACAGTTTTACGTATGTTTCAATGCAATGAAGAAAGGGTTCAAAGCTGGCTGCAGGAAAGTGATTGGGCTTGATGGATGTTTTTTCAAAGGAGCATGCCAAGGAGAGTGGTTGGCTGCAATTGCAAGGGATGCCAACAACCAAATGTATCGCGTTGCTTGGGCAGTAGTGGAGAAAGAGACAACTGAGAGCTGGAAGTGGTTCATTGGCCTTCTAATAAAAGACCTGGATATCAATGAGCAAGGGAAGGATGGGTTTTCATTTCTGACCAACAAAAGGTATGCTTTTGTCTTATATAAGCTTTTGTCATATCTCTACTCCTAATGGACGAGTTGGTTGAATAGTCCCACCACTTCCAACTGATTTATTTTCGTCCCCTTCCTCCACCCCACCGGTTTAGTTTCGCATCACCCTCTCACAGAACGAAAAAACTGAACGGACTAGAACTTTCCATGCTGATGCAAGTGTTGGGGAACGTTGCAGAAAATAAAAAAATTCTACGCTTCACCAAGATCAATCTATGGAGTTTATCTAGCAACGAGAGAGAGGAGTGCATCTACATACCCTTGTAGATCGCGAGCGGAAGCGTTCAAGAGAACGGGGTTGAGGGAATCGTACTCGTCGTGATCCAAATCACCGATGATCCTAGTGCTGAACGGGCAGTACCTCCGCGTTCAACACACGTATGGTTGGGGAAGACGTCTCCTCCTTCTTGATCCAGCAAGAGGGAAGGAGAGGTTGATGAAGATCATGCAGCACGACGGCGTGGTGGTGGAAGCAGCGGCGATCTCGGCAGGGCTTCGCCAAGCTCAGCGAGAGGGAGAGGTGGTACGGGGGGAGAGGGAGGCGCCAGGGACTAGGGTGCGGCTGCCCTCCCTCCCCCCCTCTTTATATAGGTGGCCTAGGGGGGTGCGCCGTCCCTGGAGATCCCATCTCCAAGGGGGGCGGTGGCCTAGGGGGGGGGGGACTTGCCCCCCAAGTCAAGTGGGGAGCCCCCCCACCCCTAGGGTTTCCAACCCTAGGCGCAGGGGAGGCCCAAGGGGGGGGGGGCGCACCAGCCCACCAGGGGCTGGTTCCCTTCCCCTTTCAGCCCACGTGTCCCTCCGGGATAGGTGGCCCCACCCGGTGGACCCCCGGGACCCTTCCGGTGGTCCCGGTACAATACCGATGACCCCCGAAACTTTCCCGGTGGCCGAACTGGACTTCCTATATAGAATTCTTTACCTCCGGACCATTCCGGAACTCCTCGTGATGTCTGGGATCTCATCCGGGACTCCGAACAACTTTCGGATTTCCGCATACTAATATCTCTACAACCCTAGCGTCACCGAACCTTAAGTGTGTAGACCCTACGGGTTCGGGAGACATGCAGACATGACAGAGACGACTCTCCGGTCAATAACCAACAACGGGATCTGGATACCCATGTTGGCTCCCGCATGCTCCTTGATGATCTCATCGGATGAAACACGATGTCGAGGATTCAAGTAACCCCGCATACAATTCCCTTTGTCAATCGGTATGTTACTTGCCCGAGATTCGATCGTCGATATCCCAATACCTCGTTCAATCTCGTTACCGGCAAGTCACATTACTCGTACCATAATGCATGATCCCGTGACCAAACACTTGGTCACATTGAGCTCACTATGTTGATGCATTACCGAGTGGGCCCAGAGATACCTCTCCGTCATACAGAGTGACAAATCCCAGTCTCGATCTGTGTCAACCCAACAGATACTTTCGGGGATACCCGTAGTATACCTTTATAGTCACCCAGTTACGTTGTGACGTTTGGTACACCCAAAGCACTCCTACGGTATCCGGGAGTTACATGATCTCATGGTCTAAGGAAATGATACTTGACATTGAAGAAGCTCTAGCAAACGAACTACACGATCTTGTGCTATGCTCAGGATTGGGTCTTGTCCATCACATCATTCTCCTAATGATGTGATCCCGTTATCAACGACATCCAATGTCCATAGTCAGGAAACCATGACTATCAGCTGATCAACAAGCTAGTCAACTAGAGGCTCACTAGGGACATGTTGTGGTCTATGTATTCACACATGTATTACGATTTCCGGATAACACAATTATTGCATGAATAATAGACAATTATCATGAACAAGGAAATATAATGATAATCATTTTATTATTTCCTCTAGGGCATATTTCCAACAGTCTCCCACTTGCACTAGAGTCAATAATCTAGTTACAATTGAACACCCATAGAGTTCTGGTGTTGATCATGTTTTGCTCGCGGAAGAGGTTTAGTCAACGGATCTGCGACATTCAGATCTGTATGCACTTTGCAAATATCTATGTCTCCATCTTGAACATTTTCACGAATGGAGTTGAAGCGACACTTGATGTGCCTGGTCTTCTTGTGAAACCTGGGCTCCTTGGCAAGGGCAATAGCTCCAGTGTCGTCGCAGAAGAGAGTGATCGGCCCCGACGCATTGGGTATGACTCCTAGGTCGGTGATGAACTCCTTCATCCATATTGCTTCATGCGCTGCCTCTGAGGCTTCCATGTACTCCGCTTCACATGTAGATCCTGCCACGACGCTCTGCTTGCAACTGCACCAGCTTACTGCCACACCATTCAAAATATACACGTATCCGGTTTGTGATTTAGAGTCATCCAGATCTGTGTCGAAGCTA